GAGGGTACAAAGACCTGCCTCCCCCGGCGGTGCAGGGCCGGAGCAGTAATGAACGAGCAGCGAGGCGGCTTCTCTGCCAACTGCGCTTGCTTGGCTTTAAATCCTGGGTGGGTAAAACGTTGGCTCTTTGCTACAGGTTTAAACAAAAAAAAAAAAAGAAAAAGCTGGCTTTCTTCACCTGTCCTTTACAAAGTATCATTTCTAGCGGTCTTAATGTGTGTTTACAACTGGAAAGGGGCAACTCCTTAAAAATGACCTCTTGGCATTATTCTCTGTCAGGGACACTTTTGTGTGGATTTTGCTGTCGTTGCAGCTAGTTCAGTTTCTTTCCAGGTGGGGAAAAAGTGAAGGGGAGGTCTTCATCCTTCATGAAAAAAGATAGTCACATCTAGACTTCATTTGTCCGTTCTGCTGCAGTTGCATTGGCAGGTTGTTAATGAAAACAAACAAATTTGGTTAATAGTGATGGAAAAAAAAAAAACCCACAACCCTAATAAACAGCCCCCTTGCCGCAATCATTCCTCCTCAAAGACTGGGTAATAGGGGCTCTGAGAGGACAGGTCTTCATTTTTTCGTTCAGAGGTGTGTCCTGCCTCTGTGTGAAGTAACATTGTCCTAGTAATAGATGTTCTAGATAACTTCTTGAATGAGACAACTTCAGTATAAAACCATTAGCTTTAGATTTAATAACGTGGGTTGCATTGTGCCCGTAGGGCTTGAATCCGTGTTCCCTGCGACCTTCTGATGCCGTTCCATTAACTTCAGTGGAACTATTACTGATGCCTTCTCACATTGATGGGAAGAGCCTGCATTTTTCCAGTGGAATAAATGTGCCTGTTCTAGGTTAGACTTATTCTTAGGTGGCCTTTTCACATCTTTAGCATAATGCTGGGGAAGAAATGTAAGGGGTTGAAAGAAAAATGTGCTCCAATGACCACTGTATTTTAAAGGAAAATGAGCAGCTTTCTCATTTCAATAATTTTTCCTTCAGACCCTTTCGAAACAGTAGAGTTTGTTTCATTCCTAATTTTAGCCAGAAGGAGCTTTTACAGGTATTCGCTTTTAAAGCAATCGGCAGCCCCTGCATAAATGACTGTCTCTGGTTGATCGTGTGAGGACAGGCTGGACCAAACGCACCTCCTGAAGAAGTTCATCTTACCAGCTTTGCCACCTAGAGTCAGTGATACATGCCTATGCAAAGTCTTCTTTTTTCTCCTAAAGAAAAAGAGAGGGGGGAAAAGGCAAGAAATTAAACGCCAACCTTAAATTGTCTTTCTTCCCCTACAAAAACCCAGCTTAACCCAAGGCTAATCAAAGTCGGGTTGTAGCCATTTGTTACTTTCACTAGCAAAAAAATGTCAGTCTTCCCTCATGTTTATGAGCCTCTTGTTCCATCAAAAAGTTGGTGACAGACTGTTATGAAATAGTACAATGGAATAGCAGAAAAACATGCTAGGGATGGCTTGGGCAGTATACACTGCTGTTTTCCTCACCCTCCCTACAGATCCCAGAAACAATGTGTCTGTGTGAGTACCTTCAGGCTCTGAAGACATTGGCCCCCTGACATCTTCACACTCTTCAATTACACTATTAGTGGTTAGATTTTACTTATTTAAATTATGCTCCCAGTCAAGAGAAGTAACGTGGTTTAGTCTTCATCCTGCTTTTCATCCCAATTCAATGGAGAATAACACAGGGAAAGGTAAATACAGTTCTAGATTCTCCTTTTAAAGTAGGGAGGTTATGTATAGCATCGGTGATGGTATATGCTCCTGGACTGAGGTTATTAATTAAATGATATAGTTCACCTTTGTTCATGTCATCATTTGATGTTATTGGAACTTAGCTAAAAATATGGTGAAGGTTGCAGTGATGTACCGCTATTGATAGACTTTTTTGATGTCCTACATGAGCTCCTGTTGGAGGAGGAGCTGTTAATTTTTCAGCTATCTGTGCAAGGGTTCGAGCTACCAAATATCATCAAGAAAACCTCCTGTATCAACTCTTTTAAAGTGAACCACTGACAGAATACATGCAGTGAAGGAAGCTCTATTAATTAATAGCAAACTTACTGTTACAAAAGGTGCAGGTGGACTACAAAGGGAGTTCTGTCCCGTTTTCCTGGATTTCTTAGGAAGGGGCATAAAGGGAGTACATATTCTTTCTGTATTATCACCAGTTTAGGTTGCTTTTAAGGTGAAGTCCATCTTGTCTTGCAGTTCAGAAAGAGTCAGTAAAAGTGTATTCCCTCCCAACCCCTCCTGGAAAATTTATAAGCAGATTTTACAAAATTAAGCTGCACTACAGTGGTTTTCACCACCATTGTACCACTCTCATACTTGTAATACAGCTGCACAACTGTAGACAACATGATCAAATCAGGAGAGTGTCTTTTTGCACTGCAAGTTGTAAGTAGAAGGGATGTAAAGTAAACACTAATTTAATTTTTTTTTTATGACAGTATTCTACTCATCTTTTGATGTTACCCCTCTAGCAAGTTAATTCTGTACAAATTATATCATGGTTACTACACACATTTTCAGTACAGCACATTTTCTGCCTTGTACGCATACAGCAAAACATCTTGCAGATTGTCTTTCAGTTCCTCCAATGCATGTAAACTTTGGTTTAGAAAATTCTTGACTAGAAATCTGAAACTAATGGTGTTTTTAAAACCAAGATTTGTTTATTAGTACTCAGAACCCCTGATGTGGGGGGAAAAAAGTGCTTATTGTATTCTGTTCAGGAGAAAAGAATAGCATCTATTCTATTTAGTGAAATGTGTTGTAGCTCTTCATTTCACTGCCAATTAGAATGAGTGTACTCATATGCCAGCCCAAGTTATATGCTCTGGATCAGTTTGTGGTGCAATAGAGAGCTGTTGGGGAACATTATATTTTATTTAGCTTTGTATAGTAATTTTAATGGTGTATATTTGGAATTAAATGTTTTTATTACTTATTCATGCAACATGTGATTGCTTCTCAGTCCCTGGTAGTGGAGGATTCTGCAAGTTTATTACTGTTTCTGGTCATGTTAGGCTTAAGTACCGAAGTGTGCCGGTGGTGATACTACACTGTGCATTCTCAGTGCCCATCTCAGTGCCCGATATGTTTATATTTTTGTTTTTACAGTAGCAGAACTGAACGTCTTACAGGACAGCGATGGCTTTTTCTCTAGAATTTGAATATGGAGGCCACAGGGACAGATGAAGTAGAAAAGATAAAATCAAAGTTTATGTCTGCATGGCACAACATGAAATACAGTAAGTGAAACAGTGTATGGTAATATCCTGGCTCCATTGAAATGAGCGTAATGTTTCTTGTTGACGTGAATGGGATCACGATTCAGAAACTTAACTAATATTAATAATAAAAATGCAATACGGCCCTTGAAACCATTTTTACTTTGAGATAATAAAGAGCCCCAGTAAACTAACTTGTTTAGCTTTTAATTTTTCAAATAAATTTGCATAATTTTGAAATGACTTATTTTGAAAACAGTAAATACATTATGTAAATGACACCAGATTTGCATAGACTTTTAAACAGGGATAATATGGAGTCATCTATGCAAGTATCTTCTCTATTTTTATATGCACTTTTCTGGAAAAAATAGGATGGTGTGTGAAATACAAACTCCACTGAACAATCTGCTTCACACACTTCAGTGTAACATACTTTTCCACAGTTGAACAACAGTAATTTGCTTATAAGCAACCAAATTTTCAGGTGTGCCCATTACTATTCTGTCCTTAATCTTAATTTTTCTACTTTCCTTTTAGGACTGAGGTTGCTCAGATTTACCACCAGGTTTCTGTCAAATTTTCTTAATTCTCATAACTCATCCTTGGAGATGTCTGGCAACATGAAAAGATATTTTTCTTCTACTTTCTTTAAGGCTACCACATGGCTGAAGAGGAATAGTAGTCATTACACCGTATATGTGATAGGAAAAGTTCCAGAAACTCTATGGATTTAGGATATAAAAGACCATAGGATTTAGACTTAAAACCTGACTGAAAAAGTAGACTGAAAAAGCTACTGTCTGGGGACATTGTCAAAACCTAAAAACTGAATTCTGACCCTTTGAATTTGTACAGCATATTATACTGCCCTTTTTGTGTTCGAAATGTTCAATTTAGTTTTGTGATGAAGTATGTTTAATTAAGCCTACGGAAAAATCGGTACTCTCATGCATTTTCACTGGTCATATCTGAAGCTTATTGTATGTTATTATAGGAGTTGGAAACCTCACAGAATCAATGCAGTAATGAATTTGCAATAGAGACAAAGCAACTTAAGCTCAGCTTTAGTGTTTCTGTATCCTACACAATTTCTGTGCAGTAGTACCATTGTATTAACATTCAAACATTCATATATGGCTAACATCGTTACTTTTAAACCAGAACTCTAATCTGTGTTTTGTAGCACTGTTAAACTTTTTGTTATTTATGAAAGGAAAACCCGATTTTGGTACATTTTCTCTATATTCCCTTTTCAAGGGTTACGTTTGGCTTAAACAGATGAGATTAGTAATTCCCTTTTCAAATACTTCAGTCACAAATCTGTATTTGTTTTGCTGCTATTTTAGGTTGGGTGTTGAAAACAAAAACTTACTTCAGTAGAAGCTCTCCAGTTTTTCTGCTGGGGAAATGTTACCACTTCAAAACTGATGGTATGTACACAGCACTTAACTCATTCCAATCTTATCCAGCAGGAGCTCTGTGGATATATTTTTAATCTTCTAGAAAGATGGTCATTAACAATTAGCAAATTCAAAACGTAAATATGAAAAGCTTAGAAAATACTCATTTCAATGTCCAACGCGACCACTAATGCAACCCATCCTAAGCTGCTTTATTCAGATTTTACACTGAAGTCTTGTTCTTTCCTTAAATATTAGCGTTGTAATTTGCACAGTGCTTCATTTACCTATCAATTTGAGATTTTCTTTCTAAAAACTCCTGATTGAAACAGTGACAATACCTGCACAAAGAGCCACTACACCAACACCTTTGTTATAATTTTCCAGTATTAAGTTTTCTAAGAATCTCTCTCTATTTGATCATTTACATTTAGCTGAATCGAGCAGTTGCTTACTTGCAAGTCAACAATTCCACTAGTACAGTAATGTTGGCTGCATTGCTCTTTTTTTTTTTTCCCCCCCAGCTGGCACATTTCTGTTATGTTTGCCTTCCAGATTTCCTTTCTTGTATTTGAAGCGATTGTTATTTTTGCAGGTTTGCCCTGTTTTTCTAATAGAATAGGTGTATGTTTTTTTCTTTCTAATAACAGAAGCGCCATACCAAGTTATAATTAAAATTGTGTTTGGCCTTACAGAATCTGGTGAACTCTCGACAGATGGGTCCAATTTTGATAAAATCAACACAGAGATTTCAGGAAATGTTGAGGAGTTTCGTAAAGATTTTATTTCTAGAATATGGCTGACCTACAGAGAAGAATTTCCTCAGATAAAGGGGTCTGCATTAACAACAGACTGTGGGTGGGGCTGCACGCTGAGAACTGGTCAAATGTTGCTGGCTCAAGGTCTGATGCTTCATTTTCTTGGTAGAGGTAAGTTAGGAGAGAAGATTTCTATATTTGGTATGATAAGCATGAGCATTCTATAGAAAGCATAATGATCTTTATTTAGCCTAAGTGCAAGATGGTTTTGATTCTGGACTCCTCCTTAATGTTAGAATTGTTACATTGCATCAGAGCAGTGATCTAGCTGTCCTACTCTTCCATTTCTGAAAAAGGGAATACCAAAGTGTGTCGAAGCAAAATACTGGAAACTCCGCAGCAGCTAACTGTGAAGTAAAATACCACAAAAATTTTTGATCCCATACCTGGGTATTGTTATGATCAATGCAAGTGTCCAGTTCTCTTGAAACTTGCTCGTTTCTTGAACTCAGGATGTGGAAATGAGTTCCATAGCCCATAGCTGTGGGCTATAGCGAAAGTGATGTTCTTTTATCAGTTTTAAAGTTGTACATTATTCAGTTTCTTCTAGCATTAATATATTGAGTTAATAGTAGGATTCTAATCTAACTTCAATACATCATTCTTTGTGTTGAAATTTTCACTATTTAATTTCTTCCCTTCCCCCCCATGTAGTTACAGAGGAACTTCCCTTTTTTCCTTATCATTGTCTATCTCAAAATACTCTCTGTAGCAGCTGTTTGAAAGAAGTAGCTTTAGGAGACTTGGAAGGCTTTCTGCTTTCAAAGGCTAAGTGTGCATGTCCTCCCCATTCTTCCAAGCTGAGCCATGTCCTGCTTAGAGGTATTTGGTTCTCATAGTTAACCACCTTTTCTTTCCATCCTTTTCTCAATCCGTTTCATAATCTACCACATTGCTCCTTTCAAACAATAGGTCATGTCCCTTGTCACCACTGCTCGTTTTCAAATGATCCAAGACATGGGCCTGAAGCCACCCAGGTGTGTTCGTTAGAGAGAATACAGTGTGTTGTTTACTCAGCCACTTGGTGGATCCCAGCAATACTTTAGTAGCAGACAGTACTGAAAGCCTGCTTTAATAATACTTTGTACTTACTGTGCTAATATGATGTAAGCTGTGAAGATAGTCCCAAACCAGCTGCATCACACAGTCTTCTTTCTTGGCAGTGTAATGACTGAACTGTCAGATTGGCTGACGGAATGTTCCTTTTGCTGTATTTAAATCATAAAACATTCATTATCCCTTTCAACTGACTGCAAATATCAAAACATAGGAAAATAATTCTGCTGAGAACACAAATCCCTTAAATAGAGGTGTTTTTTTTTATACGTACATTTAAAAAAAACTAAAAATCTGATCAGGAGACTACCTGTGAGTAGGAACGTGTAATGGCTCATTCTGAAGTAACCCCAAACAAAAAAAAGACCCAGGTTTATGTCTTTAAAATCGATAGTCACGAAGAATCCCTCGCACTGTCCCCCATGCATCCTAATCTGGAAAGTGATTTGGTGATTCCAGAGCACTAGTGTTTCTGTGGCAATCCAAATGCATAGAAAAACAGAATATGTGTGGTCTTTCTGGACGACTTTTCTCATCACCTAGTCTTCTGACAGCTGGTGAATTATCCTTTGAAAAGCTTTTTATGAGGTCTGGGTAGCTTTTGAGAGATATTTAAGTGTTTACATGAAGTTTTTCATCGCTGTTTACTCTTTTCCCAGAGATGTTTTCATTATAGTTTAATGGTATTGTTTCTGTTACAAAGCAAAACTTGACTGCAGTTACTAGCTGGAATACTTACACTTCCACTGCTATGTGGAATGTTCCAGATATTGCTGAATGATGTTGTAAATGAGTTTTTATTTTAAATATTAAGGTACTGGTAAGTTTTACTTTGAAATGCCTGTGCTTAAGAGATTGACTTATAATTGAAGCTCACGGTACAGGAATAGCAAGGCCTGTGATGTTGTTAGATTGAGCTTACGCATGCATCCGTCTGGGTCTGCGATGAAAACACAGGGTTTCACAAAGAGGTGCCACTTGTGGTAAGAGGCATTGATGTTGGGTGGCCATCACGCTATAGTAAGAGTGACTGACATGGACTATGGCCGTTACCAGCAATACTTGTGACATCCCTGGAGCCCTAAGTTAGATTTTAGAATTAAAAATTTAGAATTAAAATTGCCTCTGTGCTTCCTCTTTGTTTCTCAAAGACTTTTACATGGATACATCAGTAAGAATTACAAGGAGGGCTGCATTTCTTGCTTTCTGTCAGAAAAGTTTCCTCTTGCTGCTGTAATGGCAGCTTTCTGCATCTCCAGGACTTCACCCAAATCTGTCTCAATGAGCAAAAGCACTGCGTCTGTAGGGTTTGTTCCTTGCTTGCACGTGGCAGCCTTCCCCTTGCCTTCTGGGATGTCCATTGTAGACCTTCAGGATGTGTTCTGATCAGACAGTTTCAGAGGTTTCCTCAAGTGCTCTGTGTTGCAAGTAGCTGTTTGTACTTGTGGGAGAAGCTTTCAGTCATCTGACAAGGCACGCCTTACTGTTCTCTAGATTTGCTGAAGCACCATCGTGCTGTAAGTGGAACGCTGTGTGTGGGACGCATTGTTAGAGAAACCTTTAGCTAGAAACGCAGCCTGTAGGTACTGTGCTGAGTAATATTTAAACAAGTTTGTCTTGTAATCTAGGTAAAGAATTCACAAATCTACTGAATAAAGAAATCTTGTCTATTTTTCTGCTGATCTGCTTTGACATTTTGCCAGGAAGAAGTGTTTGTTTTCACATGAATAATTCCTCAGGTTTGCCTATTTTTTTTAATAACTGACAAACCAGAAGAATTAAAAACAGCTTTTGAAACTTCTTGTTTGACATGGATAAAACTTTTTAGATGGTACTGAATAGTGAACTTTTATATCTTTAATATGTAAGATAGGTCTAACCTGTGCCTTGTAATCAGGTATATCTTGTGTATTTAAGTGACTGGGATCATGGAGTCTGACCTCTAGCTCAGGTAGCATAAATTGCTAACACGTGTATCATTCAGCAGAAAATAAAAGCAATACTCCACTTGAATCCATTGATTACATTTTAACACTGACATTTGCATCTCAGTATGTAAAGTACATACTATTGGTTTAAGGAGCATGGGGGAGAAAGGGATGTGCTTTGCATATTATACCAGAAAGTTAATGTTAAGTCTAATATGCATCTCAAAATTTCTTGCTGCAGCCTGGGTCTGGCCAGATGCATTGGACGTTGACAATTCAGATTCTGAATCGTGGACAGCCCATACAGTGAAAAAGCTGACAGCATCATTCGAAGCATCGCTTACAGCAGAAAGAGAACCCAAGATCCTGTCAAATCATCATCAGGGAACATTAAAAAGAAACTGTGATGACAATGAAATGAGAAATGAAGTTTATCATAGAAAAATAATTTCTTGGTTTGGCGACTCTCCGCTGGCAGCTTTTGGCTTACATCAGCTAATAGAATATGGAAAGAAGTCTGGAAAAATTGCTGGAGACTGGTATGGGCCTGCAGTTGTTGCACACATTTTAAGGTAAAAATACCTTTATGTTATTGTGCCTTACACATTAGAGGAGAAGCATTCCAAACTGTCATGAGATTACTTCAGCTTAATTGAGCATCCAACTGTTCATTATTGGCTTTGTAAAATGTCCATCTTAGTAGCAATTGTAGAAATTTCTCAGAGGCAGGAAGGGAAATAGCAGTAGGTGCGGGAACCGAACTCTGAGCTTTTGTTCAGTCTTATCTCAGGAAAAAAAATTACATTCCTGTTTTCCTGTACTTTGGGCAGTAGAAGTCCCAAGTATCTCTGCCAAACCTAGGTTTTTAAGTAGAGCTGCTTTTAATGAAATCTTCTAAAAACTAACCACTCTTTCAACCTTGGAACATGCATAACATTATAGATTTTTTTTTTTTAATACTGTAACCTGGGGGCTGTAATGTACTGATAGTGTAATGAAATGTCAGAGCTAAAATTGATGTTTTCAGCATTTCTTTGCACACATCAAATTCTTGTGAAACTGTAAATGTATGGGACTATTAATATTATAATTATATCACAGTAAAAGTAAAGGGTCTGTGACATTCAGTGTTGCTAAAAAAAAAGTCGAAAGTCAAAATTTCTCCACACTGTGTGCCTTTATATGCAATTTCTTTGAATATTACTGACTTTTGTTTGGTTTTTTTATAGCCTTATATGCTTGTTTTATTAGTGGATTATAGTTTACCTATAAATTGAATCCCTAATAAGTTACTTAAGCAGCAGAAGTCAAAGTTGATACGTTTCTCTCTCTATCTGTGAATAGAAGAATTTGATATTTAGTATAAAAATACATTAATCTGAAGTGAACCTGTACTGAAATAATCAGGTGTGTATCTGTGCATGCATGCAAAGGCATACAGTGATGTGAGAGGTTAGCATTATTTATGTGTTCTGTTTTTTTCTGATGATAGAAACTGTCAGAATTCTTTTTTGTTTGCTTTAAATTGCAGTAGCCTGTTTACCTAAGGGAAGCCGGGGGGGTGGTCCAGATTTCCATCCAACACAGACCCACTGGTGCTTTCCAACACTGCAAAGGCTTCCTTTCCTAGATCTTTCTCTCTTACAGCAGTACTAACAATGTATAGCATGCTCATAACTTGAGAACTACGGTATTAAACGATTCTTCAAAATATATTGTGAAATAAAGGGATAGTGACCATTTAATGCAAGTGTGTGTTGAAGTCAAAGGCTAATCCTCTATTGTGAACAGCTTAATTTCTTTACAGATGTTGTCCTTGATTGATGATCATGCTTCAGACTATCGACATATATTTTTTTTTCTAGTTTTTAGCTCCATTACTCTTATTCTTTTGAGGATAGCCTAATATTGCAATTATCCTTTTTGAAAGTTTTGATGAAACCTTACAGCTTTTTATATGCTAGCCTTTATTTCCATGGACATGAGGCGCTAATTTGTGGCTAGTTGTATGAATAGAGGTCAACTGAAGAGATTATAGAGTTGAAAATAATATTTCTGTCAGCAAATTTAGCCTTTATTATCCCAATATACGTGACAGAAAATGTTATAAACAGAAAGAAATTAGGTAGCGAATATGAATTTCATTATAAGTTAATGTGCTGCTTTGGGCTTTTTTTGTGGTTTTCATTGTTTCTTCTAAATAACCAGACATTGTCATCTTTGCTTGGGAAAAACGTGTTGCCATATTCACTGGATCTTGGTATCCAGTGTTTAAAATAAATAAAAAACCGCAGCTCCCTATCTGTGTCAGGAATGCAAGGTGTGCTGAATTTAAAAACAAAACAAAACAAAAACCTAAAAAACAACCAACCAAGAAAAACCTGTCAAAAAACCCAACAACAAACAATTAAAAGTAACGTGTTTCTAAAATTCAAATAATTTACATTTATTTACTGTTAATTTCTTTAAAATCAGAGATGAGTGAAATAGTTTTGTGTTTGTACTTAGAAAAGCTGTTGAAGAAGCAAGAGACCCTGAGCTACAAGGAGTAACAGTCTATGTTGCTCAGGATTGTACAGGTAAATGTTGTGATTATGTAGATTTTTGCAAATATTTTAGATGCTTTTCATGCCTTTCAGTGAGCACTTACCAATAGAGATCTAAAGGAAAAAATAAACTCAAAAATGGATCCACAAAATTGAGATTATGTAGACAAAAGGGTTCATGATACAAGCAGATATTTGTTCTCTTTGAGAATCGGACATCACAACGTGAAAGGTTCGTACATTGCTTGTTTGGTGTCTTATAGTGGAAGATAGTGGAATTCCAAATCCAGCAAGAGAAGTTTTTCTTACAATCTGCCTGTTGTAACTTCTTATTTTTGGATTTAAATCAATTAATAATCTGTTTTGCACTCACTTCAATGTTGTTTTAGCAATAAGCTAGTAAGAGCTTCCGTATCTTAGTAAAAATAACCCCCAAAAACCAACCAAACAACTGAAAAATACTTCAGTTCAATTAGAGTAGATCTGTTGGTTACATTTGTCTTTTGCATCACAGGATTCTTTTACCCATTTTTCTAGAAGAAAAAAAAACACTGCACCAGTCTCTTAGACTAGTCAGAAGTTATTTTTGCTTGGAGTTTGAAGATGTGAGGAGGATAGTGAACCAGAGTCAGTGGTAACCTTTCTTCTGCTCCAGAGTGGCATTTTAAATAATCGATAACAGGCAGAGAAGCTTAGAGCTCTGGATGTTCAGCAGCAGAAAATGATGACATGATAAACTAAACGTGTGGTGAAACTTTACGCTAATGACTATAGTCTTTCAAATCTAAGCAGAATGTATTACTTCAGTAGCCATGTTTAGCTGCCAGAAATTTTAGTTATGTCATAACCCATCTTGGCATAGGACAGAGACCGACATCCCTGGGTAATCAGTCAAACTGGTTTTAAAGAGATACTGTTTAATCATATGCCACAGACCAGTTTTACCTGACTTACAATGACTGTGGAAACTTTTTAAAAATTCTATTAAATTTTCATTTCTTTGTTCTGGTGATGATTTTTCGCATCTCTCAGTTTGGAGGGAATAAGCAAAAATACTACATTAAGTTTTTTCACTCACTTTCAGTGACCGTGTTGTGTTACCTTTAGACAGTGAACTTAGAGTATTTATGAAAATCAATTATTGTTGCCTTTTTCCTTTAACATGTAGATGTTTCTGTTAGTTGTAGGCTTTCAAGTTTTAAATTACTCCTTTTAGAAGAAGTTTATATCAAGTTAATAAATATTTATTGGTTTTTCTCTTAACTTACCCCTTCTGCATTTTCCTGACAATGTATCTTATCTCAGCAGCACGTTACCGTTCTGTAAAATATTGCTGAAAATAAGAAGGCATAACACTGTTTTTCATCAGTCACTCAAGAGTGGTATTTCAGGAGGACAGTAATGTTTTGAAGGACTGTAGTTTTAGTTTGCAAAACTAAGTGATGACATATTGTAGGTGTGTCTTTGTAAAAGCTCATGGTTATATTTTGAATATGAATATTTCCGTGTGTCTCCTTTCAGTCTACAGTTCAGATGTTATTGACAGACAATGTTCTTTTACGGATTCTGGAAAAGCAGACACAAAAGCTGTAATTATATTAGTTCCCGTGAGACTCGGTGGAGAGAGAACAAACACGGACTACTTAGAGTTTGTAAAGGTATGAAATGAGAGCTCAGTCATTTTTCAAATAGTAGCACTAAGTGATATGAAAAGCGACTTCATGATGGTAATCTTCTACCTATTAAGTGTGTGGTGGAGATTTTACAGTTGAAGGTTGTAAAGTTTGACTTTACAGATTTTAAATTTCCCTATTACAAGATCAGACATAATTGCAGAGCACATGATGTCCCTTGGTGAAGCAGTGATAACTGTCCTACTCCTAAGGTAGCTACCTGAAAAGACATTAACGCAGTGGCTGAAATTACAAATGGTAATTTGGTTACATATGCTATCAGAGTTGTGCTGTATTAAATATCAGTCAGCATTTTAAAATATAAATGTAGCAAACTCCTTATTCCATTTCTTATTTTCTTAAATGTCAAATGGTTTAAGGTTGTTGCTTGTCTGGTTTTCCCCTTTTCTTTTGTCTTTTTCTTCCCCTTAAGAGAGGGGTTAGAATTTTTTTATTTCTTTAGTCACTACTTCAAGTGGTTGTTTCCACTATCTGGACATTAGGATGAATGCTTCTAAGGACAGTGATGCAGGAGTAGCAAGCAGTTACCACAAATAAAAACAAACTGGAAAAAAAGTAAAACTCGAGAGCAGAGGGGAGGAAAAACTATGGGTTTTTTTTGGTTTTTGGGGTTTTTTTTAAGTTTTCCCCAGCGGAGGTTCTGCTTACGGTGCCAACACCTGAAGATGTGCTGTAATCTTACCTCTTGAGCACAAGAATACTTCTCTTAGAGAAGAGATTGTTCTCTTAGCCCTGCTGCTTTATCTTTTTCTGTGCTGCTCTTTATCTGTCTTTAAATTCTTGTTTTAATTTTTAAAATACTATAACTTAGTAGCATGTACAAAATCTGAGTCTGTTACTTTTTTTTTTTGTGACTGTGTCTTCTCTGTAAAATTTTGGGAAACATGTTTGTTTTTTAATGGCATGGGGAGACAAAGTGCTGAAGCCTTTTATTTAAGTGATGAAGTAATAAATTGTTTTTCTTTTCCTTGTATTTTCAGACAGTTGGTTTTGGAAAGTTTCAGTTCTTTTCTGATTAATTCTGACACAGCTAAGATAAGCCTGTGGTCACAGATATGATCTACAGCAACCTCACTTGACTTTCAGTGTTAACTGCAAAAAAGCCTTTGAATCAGTCATGTCCAGGAATACACACAGTGCCTTCATTTGTAAGCTAACAAACAGTTGCTTCTGCAACTTTCCTAAGGCTTCCTAGCAAAAGAAAAGTGACTCCAGTTCTTTAATACTGGCTTTTATTATTGACGGATATCTCTGGCTAGTTTTACCCTGCAGAGGCTTTCTCAATTTAGCTCTCAAAAACACTCTCTTGCCAGAGTAAAATATGTTTGTGTAGCACTGGGTTTCCAAAGCACAGTCACGTTATCCGAGCTCGCCTCATACAACTGCCTTTACCGGGGTGATTTCTGCTGCTCATTTACCAAGCCCGTTCCTGCCTTTTGCAGTCTGTTATAATGGAGAATGTGATAAGAGGGCTTTCAATTGCATATATTAGTCACTTCAGTCTGTCTTGACTGTTCACAAGAAGTGACTACATTTCTTGGGGTCTGGATTTAAGTTAAAAATGCAGATTTTTAGAATGTAGTACAAGACGTAATTTTTACAAAGGATTTTATATTTATGGATGAAAATTGATAAATTTTTTATAATTCACTTTTACAAGAAAATTCCCATAGATTAAACAGTTATTCATTACCCTAAGTAGCTTTACTCCCTTTCTGTTTCACTGGCAGAGGATGTGTCCTCTTTAGCTGTTTCAGCCTTTGCCTCTGATCTGCCTGAATGTTCTGTAATGCTCAACCATTGAGCAGCATTTTCTAAAAAAGCCTTTGCATTCGTATTTTAGATAAGCAACACTTTCTCTTAACCTGTATAAACCATACTGAAGTTGACTTTTTTTAGCATCTCAGGTGAGGAGTACAACAGTTTTTGTTGTGTTACATTATCGTTGTCTTAAGCAGAGAAAATTTTATCTTGAGAAGCTTTGGTCTTATTAGTACATTAAATCTCAATCATTTTGTTGAGAGGAATTCTGCCTGCTATACAGTGATAATGTAATAGTTATACTTTTACTGGTTGATCTCTTAGGAGGAGAGAATACAGGTGTGACTGCCAGCTAATGGAGATTTCACTTTAGCTAAACTGCTGGTCTTCTGGATTGCTGTCCCAGTTTGGGCCAGCATCCAAGTTTTTGGACCCAGCACTTGTCTAGTGCCACAAGGAAACCACTGTGATTTATGGACATTTAAAGGGTGTTCAGTTTTTACAGTATTTAATGGTCTTTGTCTTCAGTTGCATTAGAACAATTGGGCGCAGCTTTCCAAAGTGCTCAATGTTGGCAAAATTCAGCTCCCACAGGAGTTGGTGGGCTAACTAATGGAAAGCCAAGACTTGAGTATTCAGAAAAATCCTAATGAGCCCTGGTGAGAAACAGAACCTCATGAAAGTGAGAAGAGAGAAGTACGTTCAAGGGAGAGGGAGGAAAGTTCTCTTCTTCTCTGCCTTCTTCCTTCGCTCAGTACTTTTAATAGAGAAATGCTCAAGGGTGATTTCTTTGGTGTCCGTGGTCTGTGACTGCATCTAGATCTTGTGGGTGGTAGAGGAATTTGTCAGTCAAACTAATGCAGTGTTCTCACCTTGGCAAAAAGGCCTGTATCCAGGTGAATCCTTCTCCCCAGCACAAGAAGCTGTATCCGTACATTCTATTACGTAAATCAGTCTGCTAGGTTTGTGTGCTAGCACAGACACATGGATTACAGAACCCAACGCTTTTCGACCTGCATGAACAGAAGTATGCTGGCAGCACTGGTGTGATTAGCCCACGGCCGATATCCCAACTCTTTCTGTCCTTAGTGGCTCCTAACTTTGCCATGGGTAGAGTAGTATGTTTTTTTCTTTACACCTCCAGACTGAAGTGATTCCTGTATTTCACCCCACGTCCCTGGTTAAATCCCATTAGGTGTATTTGCAATGTCTCTTTCTCAAAGGTGCTACATTACTGACGGTTCTGGCTCCTCTACCCTCACAGTCAACATCCAGTAAGATTTATGGGGTGTGTCTGTCTCTCCTCCCGTATTTTGGGCTGCTGTTTTGAGCTGTGTCTTGTAACTACTCGTACTTCAACTGGCATTTCTCCCTATGATGTAAAAGTTCATACTTTAGACAGATTTCTACATCTGAATGCAAAAAGAAGAGAGCCCCCAGGGCCACAGAATGTAAACATATATGAACTCTGTAAATCTGAATACTTTGATACCTTTTGACTAAGCAGCCTGTGCTCAATTTGTGTGACATTATGTTTTGTCTCCTCCCCAAAAATGATACTGCCAAGTCTCTCGATGTGTGGGCATCTCATGAAAAGGGAGGACATTCTCTGGAATATGTGGTGGTATGTTTTCACTTTGGTCAGTTGTAAGCTTGTCAAGCCCCAGAAAGTCATGGTCAATCTTTAAAAAAAGAAAAAAGCTATTTGCCTAAAAACAGTAAAGGAAGAGCAAAGTTCAAATTCCGTTTAATACTTACTCTGTTTAACACTGTCCTAATCATTTAATGTTCTTGTTGTAGGGAATTTTAAGCCTTGAGTATTGTGTTGGTATTATTGGTGGCAAACCCAAGCAGTCGTATTACTTTGCTGGATTTCAAGGTTAGTGTTTTAATATGTTATGTCTCTTCAATATTTTTCTTTAAGAGTTAGGAAATTAATATTGAACCAGTGGGAAATAGCATGATTAAAACAGCAAAATGAGTACCTTATTAATTCATCATATCTACCGAAGTCCAGTCATTTGTCATTTAGCCCATATAGTAATTGGATTCTGTAAAATGTACATTTAATTTCCATTGTTGCATAAACAAGGCATAATTTATCTGTTTCACCAAACTTCAGGAGCATTTGCTGTTACTCTCTAGCGGTTCTTATTTACGTATTTACTTTTTACTAGTTTAAGTAGTGTTAGTTGATGCTTAAATGACAAGCAATATATTCTTCCTGTCAGGATAAAGTAGCACAATACATTTTTCATATGCAAACTCCAGAATATAATTGTGTGTTTGTAAAAGTAATTTTATCACCAAAAATTAAATGACAGTCTCATCACTTTATAAAAATTCTGCTTATACAAGCATATTTGATTATGCAAAAGTTAATCTGTCCTGCAAAAACCTATGCTTCAGTCAATGAGTATCAGCCTGGCAAGCAGTTACACACTGGTTTTTTTTTTGGCTGTTCTGCATAGAAATTGGATTGTAAGCAGTGTAATAATAAGGTGTTTTTTGAATTACTTGTCTTCTGTTTTGTCCTTGTAGATGACAGTTTGATTTACATGGATCCTCATTACTGCCAATCTTTTGTAGATGTCAGCATAAAGGATTTCCCTCTTGAGGTAGTATGGATATAGACCTGGCACTGTTTTCTTCCCATATGAATCAAACACTAATTATTTAGAGATGTTCTAGCTAGCTGCCTCTTTATGGTTTTACAGTTACATGTTATTTATCAAAGTTCTGCCCTTCTTTATAGGCCTATAATCAACAAAAATGACCAGAGGTTAAAAACTCAATACGGGGGTTTAATTTTTACTTCATTGATCTTCGTCTGTTTCTTTTTAATGATCATAAAACCTCAAAAATAGATGATCACTTCATTTAAGTAACTTTCCATTAAATAGACAGTATTTGGAGATCTTAAACCTCAGTTACTTGGATTTGGTTTTGTTAGTTTGTCCTTTTGGTCACTTTTAATTAATTTTAAAATCAAGTTGCAGTCAACATCATAGAGAGAGTTACTGCAGTATTCAATAGTAGGAGCCTGTCGTCAGTTTGGAACCAGAGTTCCTATCGGTTTGCCTGCTGCTTCTTTACCCAGGAATTCATTGTACTTCTAAGCTGGAGTAGGTGGTTGTCATTTTAAATGTAACTTATGCACCCAGCAACTTTGCAGGTCATCACTTTTTTGGCTTCATACAAGTGTAAATTTTTTATGCTTATCAGTGAGGTTTGTGGTTGACTAGATGAATTTTACTCCAGTCTTCTGAACTGTTTTTTTTTAAATGAGTTTTATTATTATTTTTAATCAAGCTTTTTTATAGAATACTAGTTCCAAGAAACTGGCAGGTCTGAAAGTGTACAGAAAGAACAAACAGGTGCTGCATGTGTTCTTTCTTCCCTGCCGCCCCCCCCTAACCCCAACCTCTTTCTAGGCCACGACTTTCTGGGCTTGTCTAGGTGTAGTGAATATATCTTTTCAGGCTATGCCTAGATTTTAAAATCATGCTTGTTTTTTTTCACAGTAGTGTTTTCCCTTTTCTTTAACCTCTTGCCAAATAACTTGCATTGAAAATAGATAGAGCTGAAGAAGGTTATTAGAGAACTCAATTTACAAGTACCGTGGGAAAACATTATCAGTTTCAGAAGTAAGTGTTCAATAGCCACAGTACTCACAGTAGAAGTGCTCGGTGCCATCCAAACAAACTCTTCTTCTTGATCTTGTGTCCAGCTTCCACATGAACTTCGACCCTCCTCGGAGCAGCTCTTCTTTCAGTGTAGAAACACTCTCAGGGTGCATCTGCTGCTTAGGGCAGGATCAGCTGCTCTAGAACGGAGTTTGTTATTAGTAACGGTTCCTCATGCCACTGTGTTCTGTGAAGTTAAGTACTCCTAAATGTGGAAACACAGCTTCAGAAACAACATATTGCATTTAAATAAGGAAGAGGAATATGTATGTATCTCCACCACCGCTAAAATACTAACTACTTAATGTAGAATTCTTAAAGGTTTGCAGTGAAGTCCTGTAAACAGTGGAAGTACGTCATACTCAGCGCTTAAACTCACACCTGAGGAATTGAGTAGGTGATCTTAAATTGACTGTTTACATTTAAAATGTAAATCAAATGGTGTGTAATGAAGATAGAGATCTTCATTTTCTGTTTTGTATAGCAGCTAAGAGTTAACTTAAATTGAGAACAGTGGAGTGAACTGCAATGGTCCCGTCTGTCATTATCATGAAAAGAAAGATCTGTTGACAAACACTGATCACAGTACCTTAATCAAAATACCATCACAGGGCTAATGTCAAATCCTACGGCCAACTTAAAGCAAACACTACATATTTTTCAGTATTTATGCTTAAGGCACTTTAATTAGCATGACATATAATATAGAGTATAAGATTCTCTAGAAAATGAGAAGGTTCTGAATTCTAAAAAGGAACATAGCAGCAAAATGTATCAGAAAATAGCCTAGACAGAAGCTTTCGTTATTTTTAGAGGTGCCTTTAGATTTATCCCGCTGAGGTATGTGGAAGAAGGGTTGGTGAGTTCCAGCTCTTCCTATTTGTATTGTGGCAGCAGCCAGAGATTATAACCGAGATCCTTGCCCCTTTATGCTAATAACTGTAGTAAAATGCAGCGCCTTCTCTGAAGATTTTACAGTTTAATTGGGTAAGCCAGACAAAAGACGGGAACAGCACAAAGAAGCAGAGCTGAAGTGACTTCTTTAAGGTCACACCATAGTTCAGTTCACCATAGCTACAAAAAAGACACATCTTTTTGGTTTCTGCTCCCATGACTAATCCTCTAAACTGGCATTAATAAGAGTTTCCAAATAATAATAAGGTTTTTAAATGTATTTTGAAGGTACACAAGCTGCCAGCTTGGCTCGATCACATCCTAATACTTCTCTGCAGACGGAAAATATATGGCAATTTAATGCTTAGTGCATTTAATAGTATTATATCTTTGTCCAGAAATGTCAAAAGTAAACAGAAATTGCTTTCATAGTGTGGATAGTTGCTTGTTAGATTTATCTGTAGGGAGTATTTTCAAAATTGACAAATTGTCCAGAATAAGTTGGAAATCAATCCACTCTCTATTGGCTTCCAGAATCCATTTGTTTGGGGGTGGGGGGCAAGAAAGCCTACCCAGTTTTCTTTGTTGTACAGTCATTTCTATAGCATTAAGACGACTGCCCTGGACAGCACAGCACAACTGTAGTCACAATGTTGTTGCCGAAATGTGATATGTAATGCAGGGTTCGATTTATCTATTTGATGACTCAGGAATGAATATTCGAAATACAATTTCTGCATATAAAATTTGAACAAAATTAGGAGAAGAAACAGTGACTAAAATCAATCTTGTAGAAATAGTACTTCTCACCCTTGCTTATATTTTTTAGCAGTGGTTTAATAGAATACCTCTCGGGTTTGTAATCACAAGTAAAGAACTATATACTTCAATATGTAAAACTATTACACTGACAGATACACTTAGATTAGGTAACTAGTGCTGTTGTCTTCTGTAGATTGACTTTTCTGACTGGCAAAAAAAAAGATTTAAAAAAAAAAAAAAGTAAAATGGGTTTCTGGTATCCAGACTGCTTGATATTAGCTGTCAGGGGTTGCTGTTGCTATAGTCAAATTAGATTGTAACAGTTGTTAGTTCCCCTTTCTAGAGGAAATGCGCTGGTGTGGGTAAGAAATCTCCTGTGTTGCTCTGTCCTGGCGTTCCCGTTGTGTTAGTAAGCTGTCCTGGTCTCTGCTGACCAGCGCTGCGCTGGGAAAGCTGTGCACAGCTCACATGTAGATGTGAAAAGAAATAGCACAGACCGTTCACTGGGGAATATTGATGGCTGGGGGAAGTTCATGGAAAAACAAAATCTGCATTTTAGTACGGTGGTACCTGCGTGGCAGTGTGGTACAGACATGGCATTTGTTACTGAGCAGCTGTAGCAGGATTGCTGGTGATTTAATAGAGGTAGAATGACTGGGTAGTCCTGCACCTTAGAAGCAGAATAAAGAGGACTGCCTTTGAGAGACAGTCAGTGGTGACCAAATAATTTCAGTTACTGGACAATGAGCTTCACCAAAACTACAGTTTCTGTAATAAACACATAATCAGGGTAGATAGCATATACTTGCCTTTTCTCTCAAACTGTGAATGAGGAGTGTGGTGAACGGTTTTCTTTGGGTGTATTTCTTCGGGTTTTTTCTTATAGCACGGCTGCTGATAGTATCAGCTCGCAGCACTGTCAGAGCATCATCTATCGGGAAAAGAGATTTCACATTAGGAAAAAAAACATTGATGAAGCAGGGCATGTTGTTTGGTTTTTTCCGACTTGTGGATTATTGTAATATGGTTTTGCTTTTGTGGTTTTTTTAACTGATTTAATTTACTAAAGGAAATTGCATGAGGTTGGTTTATTCCATTATGTCTCTTTTATAGAGGTTGGGGGAGGGAAAGGGGCAATGGGCGGTGGTAGTAAAGCAGTAATTGTAAGATAGTGCAAAAGCTGTTACAAATTCAATTTGCAGAAGAGCATTCACCTCCTCTGCCTTGGGAATATTCATAAAGTACTGCTCGGAGCGGCAGACCTTTGACAGATTTCAAACTAACATGGTGTTGTGTGCAAGTTTGGTGAATGCAGCGTAAACAGCAGGTTTTATACATGTGGAAAAGAGTGGAATTATTGAATGTTTGGGGAGGGATGGAAAAAATGACTTCAAAAGTGTGTGCTGTGTTTTAATTTAAGTGATACAGGGGATTGTATGTTAAAGCTGTCGGTCGGGGAAAAAAAAAAAGTAAATGCATCGGTCTGTACCATTCTCACCCTTAACCACGTATTTCATGTTTTTTAATCTTGAAACTTGCAGTCATTCCACTGTCCTTCTCCCAAAAAGATGTCATTCAAAAAAATGGATCCCAGCTGCACAATAGGATTTTACTGTAGAACTGTGCAGGACTTTGAGAGGGCTTCTGAAGAAATAACGAAGGTAGGTGCCGAAGTTACCAAATGGATTCCTCGACCAGAGCGGCGGCTGTGTGCCGCGCGCGGGCGAGGGGAGAGAGGCGGCGGCGCTCCTCCGAATAGACATCGTGCTTTTCTTGACATTTATTGCTGCTTTTCTAAGCACGAGAAACCGGGATTGTTTTTTCGTGTCATCCGATTTTACCCCTACGTGAAACCCGGGGAGAATGTGGGTTGCCTTGCGAGAGAGGCGGCCGATGGGCTCGGCGCCGGGCGGGCCCACGAGGTGGCACTCGTGAAGTGGGAATCCCTCTGCAGCAGCCCTGCCGCGCCGCGGCCCCGCGAGGAGCGGCGCTGGCAAGGCAACCAGTCCCTCGGGAGGGACGGCTGCGCTTTTTCAAGTGGAAGTATTTGATCGAGCCAAAACGGTGTATTATTTCTTGTTAGCGTAAGTGCTCTTTCTGATGGCATTTAAATGTAAAGCGGCGTGCTTAGGATTTTGGTAGCAGTGTTCTGAAGTTTGGGGAGCAGGTATCGCCCAGCAGATCCGATTGCGTCCTTCCGCTTGGAAAACACTGGTATAGGTTCATGTAGGTCCAAATGTAATTGATGTTTTTTTCCTTGATGATTGCAGTATGTGAGTGTATGAAATACAGCATTATTAATATGTTGTATTAGCTGTGGTAGCAAATAACTGTGTTTTGTGATTTTTTTTAAAAAATTGTCTATGAAAGGATGCAGTGACAGCAGGAGTTGGTCACAATATTAATATTCTAACCGCAGGAGTCATCACAACAGTGCAAAGAATTAATGTTGATACAGCATTTTGAACATCCTGTTAAGTGATATTGGTATTAAAGACAAAAAAGCATTTTTAAACTTAATGCTGTATGTAATCTTTTGTAGATATTGATTGATGCTGAAGTTGTTTCTTTGATTCTTACACAGAGAGGCAGAAAATAGATTTAAAGAAGCAGAAGTTCCTGAGCAATTGATATATGGAAAGCTTAAATAGTGAAGTTTCTATTCTTTGTTTTCCTGTTCTATCATGTGAGACACAGCATGTAATAACATGGTAAAGAAATCTAATTACAGAATCAGTTGTATTGGAACTTCTCTTTCTCTTTTTTTCCTTCTTTCTTTTCTTTCAAGTTTGGGATTAAATACTTTTTTTTTCCCCCCCCTTGAACATAAGTTGATAAAATACTCATGGCTGATCTAAGTCTTGGAGCTATTATCCTGGTATTTTAGATCGCAGAATAGTTTGGGTTGGCAGGGACCTTTTAAAGGTCATGTAGTGCAACCCCTCTGCAATGAGCAGGGACATCTTCAACTAGATCGGGTTGCTGAGATAGTTCTTTAATATTAGTGACATTATTTTATATAAAGGTATTTTAGGCACAGTAAGTTTGAAAATAGAAGCAAGTTTGGATACAAATACAATGTGAGAAACGTTCTGTGATCTTTCAATCCATTCTTCCCATCCTTTTGTGTTTTCCTGCTCTTCCATTATTTTCCCCTTTGTTCGCAATTTGAGTGTGGTAACTCCTGAGCTATTAGCACAGTATAATCCCAGTGTGCCTTAGGTAGGCTAGACTAAAAAAATCAGGTTCTTGCTGCTTTTGTGGGCAATAAGAGATGGGAGAAAAGATTTAGCTTTTATTACTTGAGGATAAACCTTATGAGCCATATATTCAGTGATAGAGAAATTAGGGCACTGAAATCAAGGGCCCAAATGGAGTGATTAGTGAAACTCCATCCAAATCACATACCCTTTGTTTCTGTACTTACTAGTTAGGCAGCTATTGTTAAGTAGTTTAATAATACCTGTAATTAAATAGCTGATAGATTAAGGAGATCTGGAAACACATCCAGCCTTGAGAAGGACGGATTTACTGACTGGCTGTAGTCTGACTTCTGTCTTGCACTTCCAGCACAAATACCAAGCAGGCACAGCAGTTCCTGTCTGGCTTCTCAACACCATGTGGCAGATCAAAGAGGTCAGCAAGAAGCTCTGGCCTTGCACAGCACCTGGGATGGCTCTGCCTTTTCCTGGCCACAGCTTCTGCTGCTGCTTTACGCTGTTACTGGACTGGTACCAGGCTTGTCTTTCTGCTAATGCAAGTAATTGTTTTCCTATCAAACCCATGACAGCAAATAAATAATCTACTTGGGCTACAACTGCATTTGCCTGTTAGTAGCCCAGGTTCTTAGCAGAAATGAAAGTTCCCTGAAGAGCTGGACTGCTTAAGTGTTGAACTTGGCTGCAGTTCAGCACGAAGAATTAATTGTTGCAGTGGCAGTCTAACACTGAAGTAGTAAAAAATATTGATGTTTATCAATAAACTTCTCTATAGAAATATTAATAGAGGTATCTAAAGAACTTGCAAGCTCTTTAGAGTTTCAAATTATCTTTGATCACCAAGTGAGATGTAGCTTGATAACTGCAGTAATCTTAACCAAATTCCACTCGCCTCTTGTTTAGGCATTTGCCTGTCTGTTCAGTTTATGTTCTGTATTTAGCATTTCATCCCCTCCCTTAGTACGAAGGGAGAGGTGTTACGCATACCTGTAGAGAAGGAAGTTTCAGGGAAAGTTGAACATAGGCAGGGGCAGTGGAACTGCAGGTGTATTTCTGTCCAGATTTGTAGGGACCATCTTTAAAGATGTGATGGCTGGTTGGTCACCGTGCATTCCCTGAGATTTGGATGAGTTTTCTGTCGCAAACTTGCAATTAGGAGCTGGCCTAAGTCCACCCGTCCACTTCACACACCAGCAAACAGCCTTCGTGTGGCTATCAATTTCTGTTCCTCCTAAGCCAGCTTGTGTTCAGCCCCTAGAGATGAAAGGGTTTGCATCCACTTACCTAATCTTCTCAAAGAGAGCATTTGTGCATCTTACACACTTTTTTTTCCCTAATGCTCATTTGTTACTCTTCTTTGCTTATCACTGTGTGCATGTCTCTTCTATATCTTCCTGCTCTTTTACCCAGGTTTCACATTACAATAACCAAATGCAATTAAAATAGACAAGAATAAAGTGGAAAATTTCAGACCACAGTAAAACCCAAGGATTTTACTGTGAGTGTGGTTTTTCTAACACTCCCTCTCAGCCCCTGACTGTCTTTTTTTTAAATAGTTCTTACCGTTTAAAGATCTATTCAGGTTTTTTTACTGGTTTAGATTAATTGTTCTCATGAACACTGTATACCTCTAGGCAAATGTAGTTCTGCATGTCACTGCATCACTGTGCTGCTTTTTCAAAGCAGGTAAGAAATAATTAAAAAAAAGTATTAAAAAGAAAAGATCAGTGAACAATTAAGTGTCCAAAACAGCCTAAAAGGCTGAAATGTCTTTCAGTATTTGGCAGATTTTTATCTGCTATTAAAGTATTTGTCTGATCTGTTTTAGTATTTATCATTCCCTACCACCCGCTTTCTACATGATCAGTTTTCTTATTTATAAATGTAGATTTTTGGCACCCTAGTTACCACAGCTTGTTACTGTTGTCAGTCTGTTTTCAGCCATGTGCTCTTGATTGGCTTATTTACATGGGTGTATGTGTTTAAACTTTTAATAAAAACATTGATTATTGTACATGCTGATTCTACAATAAAAATACCTCCCTGAGATGCTTAGTTGCTGCAGAATTCATACCTGTGCTTGAGGAGAGCGTTATGGCCATTAACTATTTTGTAGTGGTTTTTTTATCTTCCTACAAGAGCTCCAGCTGCACTGAAACAAACAGCATGTAGAGATGATCTGTATGGAACAAGACGCAGGGTTAGGCGTAAAATTAGCAGCTACCTGAAGAAGAAATGGAAGTACATGTTTGTTTAACGGGAGGAGGGGATGTTTAGATTGTGCAATGCTTTTGTTGTAATATGATGATGATAAACAAAATGCATTTTTTTACTTTGCAGTCATCATCCGATAAAAACCGTTACTTACTGTATTTCTTCATCTCCAGTTAACATTTTATCTGGTATGTGTTTTACATTGTAGATGCTGAAATCTTCATCTAAGGAGAAATATCCCGTGTTTACTTTTGTAAAGGGTCACTCTAGAGACTATGACTTTGCTTCCAGTCCACTCCGTGAAGAAAATGACCTTTTCTCTGAGGATGAAAAGAAAAGATTAAAAAGATTTAGTACAGAGGAGTTTGTCTTGCTTTGAGGACATTTTACACAAGATTATTGGCAGCTCTCCAGCAGAACACTTGCCTTTTAAAAAAAAAAAAAAAAACACCCAAAAATGTATGTGTCCTCCTCTCCCAAAAAGGCAAGCTTGTGCTGAAATTGATCTATTTTCATAAAGATGACAATGTTTTATATGTTACTAGTCTTTAAAAATGTCACTTATAAATGTACTTACTAATTATTTTTGTTCACTGCTAGTTGGATGGGTTTAATGTCACGTTGTGCTAGTGATGGTAGAAGGCATTGTTCAGAGCCAGGTATGCTGAAATGTGCCTATGTCCTGGTCTTGCCCTCTTAAAAAAGCGTGGCCAGTCCCTAAAGCTTAACTTGTGACCCTAATGTCATGTCAGTCCAGGACAAATCCTGAGCAGAGGCTGCCAGATGCGTGTGGGTTTTATGTCATGGACACATATCCATAGGTTTTGAGACCATGTTCTTTCTGCGTGTAAGCAAAATTTGAGTTCTGTATTCGTGTGGTAAGGGTAGAACTCTTACCTGTCTTGCTACATAAGCCCAAATAATAAATAGTTAACGCTGTGATCGTGAGACACATCCTGCGCAGCACAGTGTAAGAAAGGTAGGTTTGATGTATCAGTGGTAATTGTCAGTTGCAATACTGATATAATTATATAGGCTGAATTGTGAGTTAAGATACTATTTAGCAGTATGATTTTATAATGGTTTCTCATTAAGCTTGCTTTGGAGCCTTAATATGAGGAGTGAAGATAAAGTATTACCTTTCCCTAAAAAAAAAATTCCCTACAATTTTTAAAGGTTATACTATTAATATTAACTGCAACCAATCAAAGCAGCTAAAGACAATTATTAGAAGAGAGCGGTGTTTGTTTCCTGTTTCAAATACTATAACGTTGAGGCTTCTCTCCTGTTAGTGCAGCTTTTAAATCAGAGTAAATGGGGGAGTGGATGTTAAAAATTCTGGGCTGTGATTTTTTTTTTTTTTTTGATACATGTTATTACTGTACAAATGATGACTTGGTGGTGTGTGTTCTCAGATTGCAAACAAGTGTACATAAATAGTTTCATGTTTTAACAAAGTAAATGTAATATTTAAAATACCTATTAACACTGCTTGGAAAATAAAAGAGGTGTGAAAACATTAAATGCATGTGCCTTTTATATTAATATTGGATCCTCTAAGAGTGAACATAATCCTGCATCTAAAACAATATTGTAAGGTATGAATACTCTGTTTATTTGCAATAAAGGCAAATTTTATTGTTGTGTTATAAACCAAATGTTAACCTACTCTAAGTGCCGTTCAGGCACAGAAGGCACAAATGCTGCTGATCCAAATAATAAGCATCACGTGTATTCATTAAAGCTCCTTTTTTCCTTTTATGAGAAAGAAGTGACTAATAGATAGATTTCAGGCAGAAGTAGATGAAGCATGTGTATGTGTCAGGGCTGGAGTGTGCATTTTCATGTGTTAATTGAGTTAATATTCCAAAAAGTCAAAATGAGATTGTGTTCACTTGTTTTCAGGGGAAAAAAAACCAACGCACGCATCATTTGTCTAAATTAGTAACCTCTGCACTGCTGAATCCGACTAATAATTGGCATAATATTACTTTTAGATGCTGCATGTATATGAGGATGTTTGGCTTGATCTTACTTAATATTTTTCATTAATAGCCCAGAAGAGGGAGTAAACAACATATTTATGGAATTTAGATGTCAAAATGAGGAGAATTGTGAATGTCAGTGAGAACTAGAAAATAGAAGATTCCTGTTTAGTGGAGCACAAGTTAATGTAGCTTTAGCAAAAATAATGCAAAACTGTCGAGTGGCTGCTTTGGGTAACAGTGGACAGGATATTAGACATGAAGTTGTACTTTGCTTTCACATTAAAAAAAATGCAAACATGAAAAGCTTCTGTCACAGAGCAGGGGGATATAATTGGTGTAATCTGGTTTCAATGACACTTTCCTTTCTGCTTACCTTTCCACGAGGAAGGCATTAACTAATTAAAGTGCACAGAAGAATAGGAAAAATGATCAGGAGCCTGCAGGGATGGGCTTAAGGAAGATTAACTTGTAGCTATGTGGCTTTGTTAGTCTATAGCTGAAGAGTGAGGTTAGGGAGGGAGGGAAGCACTACGTTTACAAACGTAGTGTAAGGGGGAGAGGAGTTAGAGGGAGTGGTAGAAGGAAGGACAGAGATCTTTGGGAAAGGGGAAGATGCTCAAGGCAAAGCCTTGTGCAGGGAATACAAGGCTGGGTAATGTTCTCACCTCCAAGTGTGGGAAGTCTTACCGTGTAAGGCTGTTAAAAACCAGACTGGCCCAAAGGCTAACAAATGCACGGTGAAGGGCAACCTGCGTTCAGTGCTCAGCTGAATCAATAACGTCTTTTCCATTTACAGCTTCTGTTGTTGTAGTAATAATAATAAAACATAATAAGCTTCAGAGGCTTTAATGGACAGGAGTCTGCAATATTTGTGACGAAGCTGAGTGGTGGTGAGCTATGTGAAACTAACGTGTGTGTGTATATATATATATCTCTATCTCTACAGTGGACTTTTTTCTCAATTATGTGATACTTCTATTTTTTTAAATGAAAGTTACTGTACAACATTGATCTATGTCTCAAGTCACATAGACAGAGGCCCACATCTCTTGAAAGACCTTATCCATCCTACCCCACTGCAGACTTCAGCCTTCATAACGCTCGTGGGACCAAGCCTGGCAATCGAGAAGACGTCAAACGAACGACTCCTCCCATGCTGCTCACCAAGGATGCTGACGTGTTGAAACGGGCAGGGTGAAAACAGACGGATGTACTGGAAATGCACATGATAAAAGCGGTGATGACACTACTCAGTGACTGGATTTTGTTATCAGACTAAACTGAAACTGCTCAGGCCTGATAATTCTGCAAGTTTTCCATGTGTAGGCCTTTATACCTCTTGGTCTGCAGCACAATTACAAGTACCTCATGGGCCACTCCATCCCGCTGCAGTACAGGTAGCTCTATCTGAGACGGGAACGAAGGGATGAATTTTCCATCTTCCTGAACTCCACTGGCTGCAGTTCAGTTATCTCAGAAAATCCCACGTATGCATCTAAGGTAGCTGTGGCTCCAGAAATGAGCTGCTAGTCAAAAGACCTTTCATTTGGTATTCTTGTAATAGGAACGGTCTAAGGGAAATAGAAGAGCTATAGTACGTAAGTGATAAAAACTTAGTTCTGTCATCTCAACAGCAAACGTCTCTGGAAGGGTGAAATAGTTTCATTTGTCTCGGTCTTCTTGCAACTTGTTGACAAAGAAACCTAACGGTTGAAACACCTTTGCTGAGTTTATTTAAATAGTGGATTTTTTTTTTCCCTTTTTGACTAAGGGCAAGAAAGACCAGCGTTAGACTAGCAGCTGGTTTTTAGTCCTTTAATCTGTTAGCAAATCCTTTAATTTACCACAGTGGTGCTTTATTTGATGCCTGCAACAAATAGTTGTTAAAAACTTACGGCTGTTTTCAGGTTTGGTTGTTTTTCATGGGGTTTTTTTTGTACCAGTCTTAAGCATAGACAAGCCCCTAAGTTGCCCTGTGCACTCATGTACAGTGGTGACACGAGTTAAATTACAAAGTTACTAGAAATTAATGTTTTTTGGTAACTACAGGGGACTTTAATTGGAAACTATGTTAATCGCATAGTAATTCTCTTTACCTCATCTGCATTATCTCCTGAAAACTGTGCAATTAATTTGTGTCATCACTGTTGCTGCTGCTGCCTTCAAACACAAACCAAATGAGCATTAGTTACTCACACACCCAGCAGTGGCCTATTTTCTTAAAGGAATTCCACAAATCGCTGGCTGATACTCGCTTGCCAGATGGAACCAGACTGCACGTACCACAGAAAGTGGCAAATAGCAGCTCTCTTCAAAGTCTGAGCTTTTAATAGCCTAATATCTTTTTTTGTTTCTGCCATTTCCCTTTTCCTTAGAAGGAACACTTCTTTGTGTGTTTGTACTACTATTAGCTTGGCACAACCTCAGGACTCTCAATGATTAGCTGGGACTCTGCCTTTTCCTTCTAGCAAAGATACTGGCCTCATTTTTCAAACTCATGTGAGACCTCGGGGTCCTCTTTGACTTGCCTCTAGCTCACCAGTGACCAAAACCCCATCACACTCGGAACGGAAGGTGAAGGTGTTGGTGTTTGTCCCTCCTCAAGCAGCGCTGTAGCTGGGATGGCGGCTCGGGTAGCCCTGGGGTGGAAGGTGAAGGGTCTCTCCGTGTGACCTGGCTGTGCACTTCTTCCATGGGAAAAACCCACCAGCCACCACAACCCTTTCCCGCTGGCTCTGCGGCCACTGGCAGCTCAAGCCAAACTCACCGCCTTTAAAAACACCTTTGGCCACCACCCACCTTCCCTGCAGGCAATCACAAAAGGCAGCGGCTGATTTCTGACAGCTTTCCAGCCCTAAGCCTTAGGCTGGTCTGGAGACTGGTGGAGAAAGCCAGTGTGCTGGTTTAACTCCGTGGGGAAGAAGCCCCTCGGGGATGCCTTTCGGAAAAGATGAGGCTGGAAGGCTGGTTGTGCCCCAGAATGACTCATGAAATAGAAATTTCCAAAGTGGCTGTTTAGGAGAGGTGGTTATTTACTAATGCTAGTAGAGACAACTGACCTCAGAGAGAACCAGAGCCTGGAGAACTGTAGACCAGCTTCCAGAAGACCTAAAAACGGAAAGATACTCAAGACCATGACTAAGTGAGTGCCCATCTGTGGCTACCAGCAGAATTGCTGGTTTGTGATGCCTTTCTTTAAAGACTTGTTTTCCCTCTTGCCAGTCCCCAATGCTTCAGCAGAGCTGTAAAACTCAGGCCACCCTAATTTGTTGCTGAAGCTCCCCAAGCAGCTCTGTCCCTGTGAGAACAGCTAGGTGGGAGGCCCCCAAGCACATCTCCCTCGGCAGTTACATTTTTCCCACAGTGTTAATGAGACACCCCTGAACAACAAGAACATGAGTAGGTAACTAAGAATACGTAAAGGCAGCTGCCGTGTTTTCTTGCAGGTGCAGTGGCAACTGGTGTTGAGGTGACGCCACGCATCCCCTCACCTGATTTTCAAAGCCAACGCTGGCTTCGTGTTCTGAACAAAACCCGCTCTCACTGAGTGAGTCCAGATCTGTTCGTGGTGAGTTCACTGGCTCCCAGAGGAGTCTACACGACCTTGCACTTATAAAACGATGTGGCAAATACACCTGATTGACATTTAGCACGGTG